CTCAAGCAGATCCTTCAACGCAATTTAGCACACTTTAGTAAGTTGTAACCATTAAACATGTGCTTTGTGGTGCATTAAGATTACCTGCTAGACACATGGCAGGCAGGCCTGCATGGGCCGGGCCCAAGCAGTGAGGAGCTGATAGGCCCGCAGGTGGCCCCTAATCGCACGCTCCCTCAGAGCTTGCCAAAAAATCTAGGTAGCGCGCACACAGAAGCACGCTCGCTCGATGATTACGGACCAGAATTTTGGCGCCCCTAGTAGCCACTGGCTTGTCCTCTGGAGAAAACCAATAACACAGAGGTCAGAGCCTTGGTAACAACGCATCGTCAACCCAAAATACTACATTTGATATTACCTTATTACAATGCATTAGCAGGGGCATTTATATAGAGGGATTATACTTAAGCAATAGCTTGTCGCGAGCTATTGCTTTTATAAAACGGTTACCAAGTGTGGCAATATGAAAGAAAAATACACACCCTAATTTAAATAGTTTTTATTAGTAAATAATGATGTTCAAAATCAAATATTCCCTCCGTTGCCTTCTGCACAAAACATAGTGCAAGGTGGTTGCTATGCAACAACACTAACAGCAAGCGAACATATTAGACAGAGAGCGTTGATCCATTATTTGGTTGTTTATTTACATTAATGTGTATGTTGCTGTTTATTGTGCAGCCACTGAAAAACTGTCCAGCATCAGTAGCATGGCTTACGTGGTCACTTGTATAGGTTGAGGTTGTTCGAGGCTGTTGCTTGGCGTGGCGAGAATATTGCTTCACTTTCTCCGGTCCCCGAGATTGGGCTTCCAGTTGCTCTGGAGAGAGCTTTCGCACCTGTGGCCACTAACGGTCATAATTTCTCTGCTTTGTTTCAAGACCCGCATCAGAAAGCTTTTGAATGGTGGTACTTTTCCAGTTGGTCTACCTGCTCTTCACGTAGCTCTGCATGTCGTAGTTTAGGTGCTTTTTTTTCTGGAGATAGGCACTGCTCAATCCACTCCTCCATAGTAAGACCCCCCCGGAGGTCGAAGTTAATCTTAAATGTTTCCATCTTATGCTTTGTAAGTTTGTTTCGTAACGGAAGAAATGCAAATTTATAAAACTGACAAGTCAAATCAAGCAATCTGATTGGTCGATGGTGTTTTGGCGGACCTCTTTGATTAAAGATTTGAAAACATCGTTGCTTGCTTTAAAAGTAGCAGAATTAATTATGTCAAACCTTGGAAAGTGTATCCCTGTGATATCCATGCCCTAATGCCAGAGGAACTGCACACTGAATATTTTTTGCCGTTTGATGTCTATGTCTGGACCGCTGCATAAAAAGGAGGGTTTCTGCCCCGTTACTTCTCCGCTGCTTTCTTGTTCCAGCCCAACTGTTTTTCTTAGACGCGGAGGGATACTGACTTGTTGTGAAAAGTAACTTACAATTCTACCTGTGGTATACGCTCAGTATATCACGGCTAAGAACCAATCAGATTGCTTGATTTGACTCGTCTGTTTTATAATTGCAAATACACAACAACTAGGTTTCAATGTTACTCCTGTGTATATGTTATACCTGAGAACTGAGCACAGCAAACTGTGCCGGGGGCTGGTCTGAAGTTCTGGGGGGTTGGGGTCTGGCTGCCGTGCTCCCTCAGCTTCAGCTGCAAGTCCTGAATGACTCCTGTAAAACAAAAGCTCACAAGTTAAAGATATAGGTTTGGATGGTGCGTTTGTAGTACCAGATGAAATGCTACTTACCAGCGTTCTCCACCTTCTGTATGATGATGTCATCGGGTGACTGGAGGTGGGTGACCACAACAGAGAAGGAGTCGCCCACCGCCTGTGTGAGGGGCTCCGGGGGCTGAGCCCAGGTGTTGTCATCCTTTCCATCAGAGCAACGCCTGAAGTTCTCCAAGGATGCACTCACCATGGCATCTGAGGGAAAACAAACTTTACTTACCTAAATTGATAGCAAAAACACAACAAACGCAGAAGGGGAAGAATTCCATTACATCAGAGACTTAATGATTTGTCCTATTTAGCTGAAGTATCCGTCAAATCTGTCTCTAAAATTAAGTGACTTTCATTTCTTTTGATACCGCAAAAGGCATCTGTATATTAGATATTTCAGCAAACTGTGGTGTTGCACATGTAACTTCTTTGAGGCTATGAGCCATATGGTTGCATTCATTGTTGTGAGAATATTGTATTGCAGTGTTTTTGGACACTTGTGAATTATGCGTAATGTTTTGTTTTTGTTGAGCGCACAGGAATAAATTCCAAATAAACTTCTGTTGATGTGCAAACGATTGACTCTTGAATCGTGTAACAGGAACGGATGAAGTTATCTCCCCAGCTCTATCCCTTATGTCACAGCCCTGTTCTGCAGACTGATTTCAGATTGGGTGGCTAAGCACATATGGCTTACTTATTTCTAGGCGAGTTGGTGTTTCGCTGACTGTTTCCTCTGCTGCATATCCATGCTCCAGGAGGAATGCGCTCAACTTCTTTCCTAGAAGACAAAAGATAAAGACTTTTATGTATGGCTTTAAACGTTTGCAAATCCTTTCCTCTGTATCTCTATCACAAATAACACTTAAACCATTAATTACCCATGATTTCATCATTTTCCAACTTTGTATAACCTACCCATGGAAAGCAGGATATCCACAGCATGAATGCGACCATTTTCTAGGGTTTCCTCGAGCTTAACAGTCACAGTGTTGCCGGCCAAGAGCCGTTTCACTGACAAACAGCACTCGGCTGACCAGCTGTCAGTCACAGGAACCACCCCTGCAATACGGCACTCCATTGCCTGGGAATGATAGATGCAAGTGCTAATGTCATCATGCTAGCTGTAAGACACTGAAAGACTGTCAAGTGAATTGTATGTTGTGACAGTGTGTTATCTTTGCCATGCTTAAAAACGGTATATAGTGGAGCGTAAATGCACTTACACATGGACAAAATGGCGGAACATTAGCTGCAAGAGGCTTGATCCTGTCCACAGGGACATTCTCTTCATTGCCGAAGTCAATGTAAAGGATTTTAGCTGTCTTCTGGTCAGCAGCCAAAGTCTGGACAAGGCCTCGGTACCAGTTCTACAAACACACAAATAGAGTGAAACATACAAGTGATACAGGCAATGATTGAGCCAATCGGTATATGTCACTGATTTCATCGAGAGAAGGCCTCTGCTCACCATGTCAAAACAGAATTTAACCCCGCAGACCTCTCCAACGTGGGGTACGTATGTTGTCACTGATGAGCAGCTGTACGTTTTCTGAAGTTCTCTGCTGATTCTTTGAAGAGCGACCAGCAGCTCAGGACTTTGGGCAAGGATGAAGAACTTGCCAGGGCTGTAGAACTCTACAACAGATGCCTGACAACCAAACAAAATCACAACAAAGTCATTGCATGTTAGTATTTTTAAAAGTTGGTTGGATCAGTCTTACAAATGAAGGGCAACTGGATATGTTATACCTGGATGTCGGTTCCCTTAATACTTTTTGTCATATGCAAGTCCTTAAAAAAGACCCTCTCGAGGCTGGATGCATCACATTGCTTAAAAAAAGAAGAAAGAGGTTTAACATACATAATAAACATTGACCACAAATCATTCACATTGGCCTATTTCAAATCATCTGCAAATACCTTAGACTCAAGCATGCTAGCTTGGTCTCCCGTCACTGGCAAAGCTTCAGTTTCCTGAGTTTTCGCTCTGAGATTAAAAGAAACGCGTCAGTGCACATTATCTATTGGACAATATATAATAAATCTATTCTTGACTGGTGAATCACATATTGATATTTGCTTTAATTAGAAAATCATCACAGCTGACAGTAAGTAGCACTTAGGGTTGACCCAGCTTACTTTGCAGGTTCTGGATCAATGGACTTGCACATGTGTCTGTGTGCCTTCCAATCTTCTGTCTGACACACCACAGAGCAGTAGGGCGTCTTCTTGCAGCGCTTACATCGAACATTTCCTGTCACATGAACATTTATTAATTAGATTGCTAATTGTATTAGATTTAAATACAAATATGCACTAACAAAACTTTTCTAAGTGGTAAGAAGGAATTATCTAGTAAAGGTCATCAAAATTGTTTTTGTTTTGACTCAATAATTGATCATTCTCTACCGGTGTTTCCCCTACCATTGTCTTGGAGGGGCGCTGTGCCCTGCAAAGGGAGCCCCACTCCCCCTGAAATTCAAAATGTTATACATTTTATTTTATTTGTTATATTATTTGTTTTAATATATATATAAAACTATAGCACCAAATTGCAACTCATCTATATCTACTGTCACTTTTCACATTGAACATTTGCTCTTTTACTAAATAAACTAAACGCTCTCATTTTAAGCTGTGAGTGTAGTGTTTTTGACCCTAAGAAACACTGATGCATTAAAGTGGACCTATCATGCTATATTTGAATAATATAGTGTAGGACCATACCTATATAAGGCATATTTATACTTTTTATTTTTCAAAATACCAAACAGATCATGCATTTTAGCCATTCCTTATTTCGCTCAATTTAACACTGTCTTTGCATGGGCTGATTCTGTGAGAACAGCACCATCTACAGGCCTGGCATGTGTACTACAGCGTCTCCAGCGCTTTCGAACGGCAATGTCCATGGCTCCTGATTGGTGGAGTTGGCCCAATAGCCTAGCGCCACTTCTGTGAAGTCATAGAAGTGTTCAAATCTGGATCAGTATGCATCAGATCCGTTGCAGCCCCTTTTTAAGAGATTTGAGTATGGAGGAAAATAGAGAGGGTTGTGTTTTCTGACACTTGGTGAGTTCCCTGGAACACCGGGGACACATATTCATGTATAAAAGACGTACAAAAGTGCATTTTGCATGATAGGTCACCTTTAATCAATAACAATAATCCACAGCTCCTCTCTCGGTCTGCTTCAGAGGATTTAAAAAATATATATCCCAATGCCACCCCCTGAACTTTACATGCCATTTTACTACAACATTACCTTTCTGACCACAGAAGTTGCAGAAGTATACCACCAGTGCTGGCGGCATGGATCCTAACATCTATTAAAAGGGAAAGAAAATGTGGTAAATGGCAATGTACAGCAAAACATATTAATTAATCTAATCATAAAGAACAGTAAAGTTGTTACATACTACAGGTTGATCCATGCTGACTGGTGCATTTGTAGGGCCTGCAAAAAAAGATAAATGAACAAATAAGGGCCAAATTAATACAATTTCCATGCTTTACAGTTAACGTGGTATGGCGCTGCAGTTACTAATTGCATTGTACAGTTGTCCAGATTAGAAAAAAAACAGGTATTCCCGGCAGGTGTCTCAGGTAATAAAAGCCTTTCGGCTAATGATTGCAATGATTACCGTCTTCAACGGCACCTAACAGGGGCTGCACAGGTGTTGCATCGGGCATGGTGGGAGCCTGAGGTATGGTTGGAGGCCGAGGCCTCGGGCCGACAGGAGCGAAGGGGCTCGACAATGGCTTCCTCAGAGGCAGGTTAGGTCGAACAAAGTTTGAAGCAAATGAGCGGTGCATGGCGGCAGCTGCTAATGTTAAAAATATTCGGTTATGTTAGACAGTTTATTAAAAGTATATTTCAAGTATAAAAAGTGAACAAAAGCATCGTTATGCTCCTCTCAGGGAGAACACGTGCGTCTTTAGCTAGCTAATCAGCATTGACCCGCTAACGTTTCACTTAGCTGGGACTGATGTTAGCCCGCTAGCTACTTTTAGCAAATTACACGGCGACAGTTGAACATAACGTTGAACAATACACTGGAGTAATGTTGTTATACGACACAGTTGTAATTATAAACCACAAAATAATGAAATATATATACACTTTATAGATTAATATTGCGCAGCCAATAGTTGTTACCTGAGTGCACGTGCTGGCAGAATGGGTGAAAGTGCCGAACACATGCGCAATGGATTGTGGGTAGGTCTATGCTCAAAGGGTGTGGTCCATGGGGTGTGGTCAGGATAAATATATTTGTATTGGGTTAATATTAAGCTGTGACATTGGTATCCATACATATCCAAAATGATAATTGCTTTTTTTTAATTATAGGAACAACAGATTGGCCTTGGAGCTATGAGGAATTTAAGTGACTTGAAAATATTGTTAGTGCTCATGCCTGCAACCTGCAACCATCATGTGCATTGATTGCTGGCTTTGTCACTCAGTCATTGCACAATGCACACTGACTTTATTAATTGCATTTCAGTCAAATAATGTATCAGTACAATAATCATGGGCTGCAAGTCAGTACATGTATCACATCAACAGTATGTGACATGTTGTATTAAGTGTTTTTTTCTTTGTTATTTGTTAAAATATTAACGTGTCTGTAAATCTATAAAATCATGTGAAAGTTTACCTTTTTCTCTTTTTTTATAACAATTTCACTTCTGACGTTTGACATTAAGAAAAAACAGTAAACATTTAGGCATAATAAAAACTTGAGACAGAACCGGCATGGTAGCAGGGTACAACATAACAACATAGGGTAGCTGTAATAGTAGAAATAATAAAGAGGAAAAGAAAAAACAGAAAAGGAAGGCTATAAAATCCAGTCTCTTCAATGGGAGCACATTTAATGTGGAGGTGTACCTGCCATGCGTTTACGTCAGACTGACGTAACTTCTCACTGGTCTCTGATTGGTTTATATCTCCTCATCATTTCTCCCGCAGTGGCCATATTTGTTGATGTGTCATATCAAAGTGACTTGTTGGGGCTATCAGCTGTTAAGGCAGAAAGCTCAAAGTTATCCCTTATACCGGTTCGATCGCATTGGATTACAACATGGGCTTTTTGCATTCGGTAGGTGAAAATATAATCATGTTTATTAAGCGTCATGTGTCTTGTATGTTGGATTGCAGCGTTAGTTTCGCTAGCTGCAGTGTAGCTAACGCCTCTCTTATCAACGTTAGCTTAGCTAGCTACAGTAAGCAGTGGATCCATACAATATGTCAGTCTGCACTTATGCGTAACATACATTTGAACCACCCATTGTTGGTATCATATGTGTTACGTTATGCAAATCGTGTCACTAATACCTTGTTTTGGTTAACTAAGCAGCTAGCAAGATTAAGTTAGCATTGGTATGGCTATCGTTAAATGAACCGAACTGTTAATAAAACGACAGTAAATACAAATGGCACTTCGGCCTGCTGCTATCTAACTACACAGTCACCTACCCAAGGCATGAAAACGTAAATCGTGTATTTTGATTCGGCTGGTTACTGATTATTATGTTCACTCATTTTGACATTGATGGCATGACACCTGTCGAAAGAGCATCAACGCCAGTGTGTGTTTTTATCTGTTGTGCTTTCACCATTTACGCGATAAGCTTAATTGGCTGGATATATGTGGCTATGATCTACCTATTACTCATTAACGTAATGCGGTAGTTATGGAAAAACTGTAGGGAGTACGGATTAGATGATAAGGAAAAAGCAATGACAAATTGTTCTGGTGTGATTCAGGATCAGGAAACATAGTGTTGCATATCATCTTTCCAATGCAATATCTAAAACTAAAAGCCATGGGGATAATGTTTAACTTATATTTGATATATGAGGTTCAACACATGACTGAATGTTTAAGTATGAGACGGGAGGACTTTGTTTATTAACCATTTCCATGTCTCTGGTGTGAAGAGGTTTAGTGGCCTGTTAATTTAAATCCCTCACATAAAGTGACCAAGAAAAGTGTCATCAAGCTAATCCATAAATGTTGTATTTCATATTCTTAAAAGTAGACATGTAAATACCAACACGTGTTCATCATGTACCATTGGTCATCCCTTAGGAAAGTGCTATATAAATAAAGCTTTATTATTATTATTAGGAGATACAGTTTTTCATATTGCTTCAATTGTATACTGTACTTGAGAAACATTGTACAGTTCTTTTCCATAATCAAATCCTACCAAGTGTGTCATGAGAGATTTGAAAGATAATTGCATTAGGGTGAGGCTTTGTCATGATCTAAAATACCTATCTAAGTTGTATGACATACAGCGCCACAGACCAACAAGTGTAACCCACGTAACAGGTGTTGATAAGACCAAACAGCTTAGTGTGTGTCTGTTGGGGATGACTCTGTGTTATGTGGTCCTTTTGTTAACAAATCCTCTTGCAAATAACCATGTGGAAATATAAATCTTGCTCTCTGGTTACTCCTAGCTCACCACAAGGACAACATTGTGCCCAATGACCATGCAAAAAGCTCCCGGCTGCTATATTGGTTACATTCAGGAATTTTAGGCTGTTCACAGAAAAACTATTGTGACCAAATGTATGAAAACAGTTATTTTGTTTTGCACAATTTTTGAATCTTGCTATCTTCTCTGTGTCTACCTTTGCCTCTACCAGATTTGAACCAGAGAGGGACCATGGAACAGCCTGGTCCTGCCTCGGATACACACATGATGGAGGGATCGGAGGTTGAATCAGTGTCAGAAGAGTCACAACCGGGGAATCAGCACCACAACAGCGCATCTAACATAGAAGAGGAGGAAGACATCTCTCACAACCACAGTGCGGATGAGGCGGACAAGTTCAGTCAGGCAAACGATGAAGCAGAGCTTGACAGAGAATTCATCAAGACTACAACAGATGTTCAGACAGGCATACAGACAAGGTCGGAAGCTCAAACATGCAGTCAGGAACATGAAGAGGGGAGTGAGCTTGATGCTGGCTGTGACAGCAGTACAGCTTTTATGCAAAGCAAGCTCCCTTCCCTTTCAGATGAGGCTGTTGGAGCTTCAGTAGCCCCAGTCATAGCTTTGGATGACGTGGAAAGCTCTGATTCTGTTTCTGAAGGCACAGCAGAAACCTTATTGACTCTTAATGAAGTGAAGGATTCTCATGCCACACACTGCAATGAGCAGCCATCAGTCTTGGTCACAAATTGTCCCACAGAGCCATCGCCTGCTGATGATAGCAGCTCAGCAGAAAGTCCATCATCCCCTTGCCTCCAAAGTGCTTCCAAAAACTCCCCTACTGACTCGACAACCACCTCCGGGTTCTGCAACGGCCCTTCTACCCCCAGTTCAGACACAGTGGGCTCATCACCTGCTTCCAGCCCGCAAACTAGTGCCGACAACCCGGCCCCCTCCCATTCCTTCTCAAGTCCGTATGACACTGATTGCAGCCGAAAGCTTATCTCCCAGATCCAGCGCTCCCTGTCACAGGAGTCGCTGCTGGATGAGCTCGAGTCAGAGCTGTTGTCTTGTCAGCTGCCTGAGGGGGAACGTAAAGGTGAGGGCAAAGGAAGCCCACCTATCAACGGACTCCCTACAGACCAAGAGAACTGCATGGTGGTCTTTGAGAAGTGTGTGCAGTACCAGTATGCACAGCAGGAGAAGTCGATTCAGAGGTAAAGTGCTATTTCGTCAGTTAGAATGGACGCAGTATGCCGTCAGTTATTAGATTATTTCTGTCTCTGGTTTATCTGCTGCCTAGAGTTGCTGATTATTTACAAGGCCACCTTCGTAACGTCATTTTAAACTGCTATTTGTACAGAACTTGGTCAGTTTTGCAAGTGTTTTACCTACTTTCTAAATGCTATTGTTTTTCTTTTCCTTACACATTCTTTTTTTTTTAATCTTCCTTGATTTAGCAGACACACAAGAATAATTGTTTCAAGTAATGTTTTTGTAACTCTTTGGCTAAATGACAGAGAGTGACCCAAATACTTTCCTATCCGGCGCAGTTCATTACAACACTCTACATTCTTCACTAATTGGCTTGGACTTGACCTGAATTGGTATTGTGTGTTGTTGTTTCTGTCTGTGTATATAGGCTGCTCGAGGAAAACAAGAGGCACCAGGAGCTGATTTTGGGTATATGTTCAGAGAAGGACAACATGAAGGATGAACTAAAAAAGAGGACAGAAACCGAAAAGCTGCACATGGCCACTATTAGAAAGGTTAGTTTATTTCTCTATTGTCCATTCACATTGTTCACGGTTCATATGGCACTGACTGTTGGAGCACAAACACAAGTAATGTGCTCTGTATCATCAGCATCCCTTGGTCTAACACAGGCATATTCTGAAATAATGGGCCATGTTTGTCCTGCGTATCTCTCCAAGCTATTTTTAATCATTTTTGGAACACAATGGAAGCATATGTTTTTCATTAACAAGGAAGCGCTCCTCTAAAATGTTTTGCCTCACTTCCTCCCTGGCGTGGACATTGATTTTGGCTGTAAAATGTTTTGTGTTAGAGACTGACACAGCTGAAGAAGATGCTATAACTAAGTTTATGGTTAAGAGCATTGATTCTTTAAAAGTATTTTCTACCTGTAATTTAGCGAAGCTTGCGTACAAGTACTTATCTATTAATTGGATCTGTTCTAGCATCACTGTTGCCATGGAAGGAACAATAATTGATTCTTGCTTTCTTGGTAACAGCATTTGTTGAAGCATTATGTAAGCAGTAGGAGGGATTTTTATGGCATGAACCCAATGTATGCTTTTTCTTTTTTTCTCTCCAAACACCATATTTAATTATGTTAGACATATATTAGGGATGTCCCGATCACCTTTTTTTGCTTCCGATCATTTGATTTTGACAATTTGCCGATACCGATTTTTCCCGATCCGATCTTTATGCAATGCATTAAGAGAAAAAAAAGAAAAAAAGCATTCAAGTTGTCCCTTAAGGTTATTTTTTTATTTAAATTGGATATTCTATCCAACATGGATATAGCTTCTTTCTTTCACAGCAGCATTGGATCAGTTCAGTTGTGCAGCATTGGATCAAAACAAAATAAAGCTTATCAGTACTCGTTAGCTTA